TTATGATTGTAGGCAGAAAAGTTCTTAGCAAAACTGCACATTAGGGAAGCGGGCAACTCTGAAGGTGAAGGTGAAGGTGACGAATCAGTAAGTAATAAAGTGAAAAATGGGCCTAATTCTCTTAGAGGTACTAAAGCACCAATTTGGTGCCAGTGCACGGTCGGTAGTGAAGACAAGGAAGAAAAACTGAGCAAAACAAATTTCTCCTTTGCAGCCAAAAGTGCATATGCAAATGTGTATGAGCATAGAGTTCCAAATGCTTCTGAAGAGAGCTGTGATCTAGCCACTTCAAGTGAGTGTAATAGGTGTACATTACCTAGACCAGGAGAATCAATGTCAAGATTAGGCTCCCAAGATGTCCATGAATTGGAGCCAGATTGTAAACAGTTTCCTAGTTTAGGAGAGAGCATTGGTAGTCATGAAAGCTCATCAAGCAAAGGAGATAATGAGTCAAACTGTACAGTGGATTGTGAAATTCACTGGGAAGACCTAAGACTTGGGGAGGAGATTGGACAAGGTAAACCTCTTCTACTTATTTTGTAAAACTTTCTGTGTGTGTACATGTAAACTAAAACGTGGCCTTCTAAGAAATAGATAGTAACATCATCTGCAAGAACTAAGAGAAATGTATATATGTATCCACTATGATTTGTTATTTTATAAATCAGTTAACTCTTACTCCCAACTAAACTGGTTTGTATACCGGCTCTAAGGTATTTCTATTAAGATTTTGGATTTAATATCAATTTAGTGTATTTCTTTTTGCCTTACAGGTTCGTATGCGGTTGTTTATCGTGGAATTTGGAATGGATCAGTAAGCTCCTAATTCATGTATTTATAATTCTTGTTATAAGAGTGTAAAGCCAATATTTCAACTTGAAAAATATTTGTTCATGTTACTAGGATGTTGCTGTTAAGGTATACTTTGGGAATGAATACAGTGAAGGCACCTTACAGAACTACAAAAAAGAGGTACTTTTGAAACTTCAAATTCTGTTGTGAATGAATATAATGAAAAGAGATAACGGAACCCAAATCTTCCTCTTCCATACACTTCAGATTGATATAATGAAGAATCTGAGACATCCAAATGTACTGCTGTTCATGGGAGCAGTGTATTCGCAAGAACGGCTTGCTATTGTCACAGAGTTGTTACCCAGGTAACAAAACTGTAATGCCTTCTAGGAAGGGATTAATTGATACTATTAAATTTTGTGAAGAGCATCCACATTTGATCTTCTGATGTCAGGTTATATTGTATGACCTCCATTGCAGTATATATACGTTAGCTTTGATTATTTTTGCCACCTGATATCATGGTACCTAAGTGCATGTAAATAGTCTATTTTAAAACCCCTTGTATTCGTATTTTCCTTTGTGTTTTTCCTATCATGAGGGGATTGTGTCTTTTTTTCATTTTTGTTTTCTCACATGATCAGGGGAAGCCTATTCAAAACACTTCACAAGAACAATCAAGCTTTAGACATAAGACGGCGTTTTAGAATGGCTCTTGACGTTGTGCGTTCTCTTGCTCTGTCTCTCTCTGTGTTTGTGTGTGCGTTTGTTCTTCTACAAGTCAAGGGCAAAGTTGTTGAGCTTGTCAGGTATCCAACAATATGTGACACTTACCCTTTTGCTGCAGGCTAGAGGGATGAACTATTTGCATCGCAGAAATCCACCAATAGTACATCGAGACCTAAAATCTTCTAATTTGCTTGTTGATAGAAACTGGAACGTGAAGGTATTGTAAATGTATTAGTGCTTTCAAATAATGCTGATCAACTTTCTTGTTTGTTAATACAGCTCATGCAAAAAATTTCAGGTAGGAGACTTTGGCCTATCAAAGTGGAAGGATGCAACCTACTTAAGTGCTAAATCTGGTAGAGGAACAGTAAGATCTTTGTCATTTATTTTTTTTCTCAGTTTCTTCTCTAAAGACCCTATTTCTTCCTGAAGGTGTTCTTGCTAATGGGATCCGTTTTCCTTATAATCTTTGTTGTATTAACAGCCACAGTGGATGGCTCCGGAAGTCCTGCGAAATGAACCTTCAAATGAAAAGTAATTTCTGGAGACTGATTTTTAAAATTTTCTTCAGTAGTACTCTAGCTTTTTGATTTTCATACTCTTTTATGAGTTTGTTTGTGCGAAACGGAGAGTCGCAATGGACCTAAAACATTGTCATGTAAATCAATTCCCTCATTTTATCATCAAAATAGATCATAGTTTTATCAATATTTTCTGGTCTGTCTTCTGATAATGGTAGACCATGTGAACTTTTTCTTAAAGTGACAAACACAGAGTCTTCTGCTAATTGACATCATTTCTTCAACTTAAACAGGTCTGATGTGTTCAGTTTTGGTGTCATCCTTTGGGAACTTATGACTGTCTCCATCCCATGGAACAACCTAAATTCATTACAGGTCATTTTCTTTTCTCCGTGTACACAACATTACTTGCACTGATGCACCTGCACACAACTATATACAGCATTTAAGTTACCTGCCAACTTCAATAGAATCATTGTATTGCATTGGCTTAGGTAGTTGGAGTTGTAGGATTCATGGACAGAAGATTAGAACTACCAGAAGGACTTGATCCTCAGGTAGCATCTGTTATCGGCGACTGCTGGCAAAGGTAATTCCGTTTTCTCCGTGTACACAACATTACTTGCACTGATGCTAATTGTTTGATGTCATCACCCAACGCTGTCACTTGCTAAGTTAATTAAAACTAAATCATTGTTTAATTAAACACGCAGCGACCCAGACAAGCGTCCATCGTTTGAAGACATAATTCAGAGAATATCAGGCCTACTTCAAAGAGATATTGCGGCATCAGTTCGAAGGTACACAGAGCAGTGATATGTGGAGTAGTTAAATAGTCTCTTGCCGCTCACGGTGACGGAAGTAGTCAGCAATACCAATAGTTTAGAGTTACAGAGCTTGTAATAATTTTTGGAAGGAAGGGCAAATCTACACGTGTATCAATAGATGAGTAGATTAAACCTATTCCAGTTCAAAGTAAAATTATTAGATCATCAGTTCGGTAGTTAAAATCTTAATCATTTCATTAATGGTATTTATATTAAATTAATTCCTCCTATATATGAGTTCCACAAAAGGAGGTCTAAGTTTCCAGCACCAAATTTTATTTGCAATGCATTTCATTTCATGGGGGTACTGGGTTGGGCTTTCATCAACAAAATGCTAAGTACACTCATAAAATCATGAAATGCTCAAGACCTTGGGCCATTTTGTTTAATAAAATATTTTGGAGTTCATTCATAAAATATATCAGGAGCTTCAAGATTGGGAGATCGTTGAGCATGGTGAATTGGTGATAATGTGATCTGCTTTCAATGACCACAAACTCTTCAAGTTACAAAACAAAATGGCAAGTTGTCAGGCACAGCAAGCCGATAAACAAACTACTGAAGGCAAATCAAGAAGAAGAGAAAAAACCATGAAGCAATAGAGATGTGACATATTCAAGTTTAAGTCTAAACAAAAACAAAGGAAAAGATAATAGGTATTATGTGAAGACATACCTTTCAGTAGTCAAATGATATTAACTTTATGTATGGGTAAAAAATCGTATTAGACCTTATCAGACTCAACAACAAAATAAACACTATATGCGGCCTAGTGCCTTAGACCAATTTCGGTTGGGCCACATTTAAATCCATCTTGTAAAGAAGACCATCCAACAAGATGACCCACTTTGTAGGAAGATCCATTCTATGGGCCGATCCATTCTACGAGCCAGACCATACCATGAGTCAGTCCTCTCGATGAGCTAGGCTATTTTACGAGTTGGATCACTCTACAATCAGGGCCACCCTACGAGTTGGGCCACTCCACCAGTTAGGTCTTTCTATAAGTTAAACTAAATCGGGTTTCAGCCCAATAGCCCATATTCGTTCCACAATAGGACTCAGGGTTTTATTTACTTTCTAGTTCATCCAAGATTCTTAATCTTACATAAATTAGTACTTTTAATTCTACTTCGATAAGTAATACGATTTTCTTGTTTACTCAAACTTCTATTATGAGAACGACTAGTTTTACAAGGACTAAGCTTTCTTAGCTCACTATATAAATAGGGATCAAACCTCTCATTATTCATTCACTTACAACCCCTCTCTCTAGCTTACTAAGTTTTTGCTCCTGAAAACCGTTGTCTTTCTCCGTCGTAAAGCTTAGTTCGGACTAACTTTACATTATTACCAACATGAGTTATATGACAAATGAATAACATTTCAATCTTGGCAAATTCAGCTAAGTGCAAACCGATCCCATGTTTTTACTACTTTTCAGATAGTGATAATAAATACCAAATCCTACCTGTTACCAACTTAATATGTCAAACTCCATGTTTATTTGACGAGTACCCATAATTCTACGCACGTTTGAGCCCAAGTGCAAACCTTTGACTCAGTTTGCAGAGTATTTTGTCAAATTTCCACACCCGTGAAATGAAATGATTTGACCACTTTAACTCTGATAGTTGACCAAAATCATCTTCATTTCATTTGTCACGTGGCCTTATCCTAATGGTCACAAAAGACAATGCAACATGATGTAGGACTAATTTGAAAATATCACATTTTTCTTTTAATTACTTATTAATACGACGGGAACCATTTTAAATCGAAAATGTCGGCAATTGGATTAAATATTAATAAAAAAGAGATAGGGGTGGGTAAAATCCAAAGCAGCGACCTTGCTTGTGTGATTTGTCAGTTTATGAGTAATGTCGTTCACTTTCAAAACCACCATACGACATGCCAATTGCCAATGCCTAGTTTTTAGGTTATTTTTATTTTTCTAAATAAAAACTCAACCCAAATTAATATATGCAATGCAGTGCCGTAATCGCGCGTCAACTACACACAAAAACTAAGCGAGTGAATCCCATCGCTTACGCACATTATTACTTGTCTCAATCACAATCTGAACCGTATAATTTCCGTATTTATATACTCTCTTTAAAATTCCTATAATCCTTTCCTTTCACACTCATCTCAACCATCTCTTCCCTCTCACTCACTCGCCCATGCATTTCCACAACTAAAACCCAACGCCTTCATCACCACCATGGGCAAAGCCTCCAAGTGGTTCCGTACCATTCTCGCCCTCAAGAAGTCCGACCCCTCCTCCTCCTCCTCCTCCTCCAAAGACAAACGCCGCTGGAGCTTCGTCAAGTCCTACCGCGAAAAACACTATCACAACAACGCCACTTCCGCCAAACACAATTCATTGTACGCTCAGGAGCTTCCGCTTACCGACGCTACTCCGTCTTCGGAGGGCCAGGATGCTAACAAGCACGCCATCGCTGTGGCAGCGGCCACCGCAGCCGTTGCTGAGGCTGCGGTCGCGGCGGCTCAGGCGGCCGAGGCCGTCGTCAGGCTCACCAGCAACAGCGGGAGGTGCGGGAACTTCACTTCCTCTTACGTCGGCAGTTGTGGTGGGGCCCTTGATGAGGTGGCCGCGATTAAGATACAATCGGCGTTTCGTGGATATTTGGTTGGTTTTTTTTTTCTTTCTTTTTTTGTTTATGAATTTTAATTCTAAATGTTTTGTTTGTTTGTGTTGAAGTTAAAAACAAAATTCTTTGTCTGTTAATGGGACTGTTGAATTTTTTGTGAAAGCTACGGGATTAGTGTTTGGGTTTGCACTTGACGTGGCTGCGTAGTTGACGCGTGTCCTTTCCTCTTTTTATTCTTCTTCTTCCATGCTCAATACGCTGAATTAATAATGGCTTTTGTCTTGTTTTTCAGAAAACGTTTTTCATGTTTTCTCTCCTTCCAAAAATTATGTTTTCAAAAACAGACTCGTTTTATGTTGTTATCAGTCTCGCTGAGACGGAGGTACTGAGATAAGAGATTGGAATTTACATGAATCAGGCAAAACACGTCTTTCTGAAATTTTACTTGCATGGTAAATTTTAAACGATCTTCGTTTAATCGTTTTGGCCCTGAGAGCACCCGTTGAAATATCGCTATCCTTCTTCATTGTTTCTGCTATGTCGTTTTGCTCGAAACCACAGTACCTACAGAACGCAGCATACTAAATCCAGCATTTACTTTTTCTTTTTATAACCAGTATAGTATTCAGGTCAACAAGGACTAGTCGCTAGCATGCACCTGGGTGCACACTGCGCACCACTCCGAAATCCGTTTGGGACTGTTCACTGTTCAGTTCCCCTTTTTATATTCCTCATTATGGACTTTTCAAACAATTAATGACGTGATTATGGTGTCAATTGTTGCCAATAAATTACTTGAGTTAATTGAGGTGGGGTTGGCTTTGTTGATGATATTATGTCGTTTATAAATGCTCTTATTGATTAGTATTCACTTGGATTCTTGGTTAAGTACTTTGGTAGCTTGGTTATTAATTGCAAAAGTAATTGTAACTTTCATTAAAATGATGTTCTGATGAGTGAGTTATAAATTCAAAGTGGTGCTTATGCACATGCTTAGGATTGAGTAATTCTAAAGCATATATTGAACTAGGGTGGCTTATGGATTAAATCTACACTGAGAGTCTATGCACGTACACATTTTTTGAGAAGGGAAGACCAGAGTCCAGCTCTAACATCTTTTGGCCATCTGGGTAATCGAAAGTCTAGTTATTGGTGGGTCCAAACCAGCAGAAAGTTTGTTGTTAGTATGTGTTCCATTAAATTCATTTGTATGACTTTTTGGAGATAAAGTTGGGTTTGTTGGGCACTTCAATGTAGAATTGTTATGCACAAAATAGTCTGACGCTCGTGATGAAACATATCACCCTTTTCCCGGGACAGGCGGCTAGTGACATGTCCTTGTCTCTTTGATTTCAATTGTCAGTATTTCATTTCTGAGAGGCTAGATTGAAGAGAGAGAAAAGAGGATGAGAGGTACTCATGGCGCCTGCTAGCTTTTAAATTTATTGGTTTGGCATTTGATTTTCCTTGGCGCCATATTTCAGTTTTGCATCTGAAGTTCTTTAGTAAATGGGATAGTGTGGTCCTTTGATACCTTGTCTCTTGATTGATATGTCATTATAATTGCCTGATAATTTTACTCAGGTGTTTGATTGCATTTTAATCTTGTTTAGTTTTATTATTACCTGCAAGTTTATCTGTGCGGCAAAGGTCTTTCAATTTAAAGGTTTAGAATTACCAGTTCAATAAGTTATGCAATGATATCCCACTTAATTGAATTGTAATTATAATTTGGGTGGTAATTCTTAATTGTTTATATTTTGAAGGCAAGAAGAGCTTTGCGAGCATTAAGAGGATTAGTAAGGCTTCAGGCACTTGTGAGAGGTCACATTGAGAGGAAGAGAACTGCAGAGTGGCTTCGACGAATGCAAGCATTGCTGCGAGCCCAGGCACGTGCTCGTGCAGGACGTGCTCAAATATCTGAATGTTCACAATCAAGTGGCAAATCTTCGAATTTCCACCAACCGGTAAGCAAGACACATCCTTTCCTCCCATGTTTGAATTTTTATGGTAGTTTTTTGGGTAATTTTTCATGAAATGATAAATTCATTATATACACAGACTGAGCTTTGAGCTCCTTTCTTTTTATAGACCAGAGTGTTTTTCTTTTTGTGCTCTGTAGAACTTTTTCTTTTTGTCTGTGGACAACTTTTCAATGAACGTGATAAATTTATGATTTTTAGTGAAGGCTATGGCACAGTAGTAAGAGTTGCAGAAACTAGTTGCATTGTATTAAATTGCTACTTCAAACATGTTTATGGTGTACGTTACAGCAAAGTGCTGGCATTGGTCATAAATTTTATAACGTAAAGTGGACAAGAGTCTGTTGAAATTTGTACTTCTAAGGTGTTTGCTTTGTTCTTTTAAACTAGTCACCTCTCACTGAATATAAAAAATCACGTTCTGTATTTCTTCCGTAAGATAGATCTCATTTGTTTAATTTATTTGGAGATAGGAGTATATTGAAAAAAGGTAATTTATTTGGGGATAGGAGTATATTGAAAAAAGGGAATGGTACAAAGAACAAATTATTTGCTTCCTTGAGGAATTATATCAGGATTTAGTCTCTGCTAGGTTTGGTTTAAAATTAATCAATAGTGAGATCGACACACTTCTTCATAATACTTTTCTAATTTCTACAATGACCTTCTGTCCTGTGTCAAAATATGTTTGCTTTTACTTGCATTGATTATGTAGAGATTTATTTCATTGATTTGCAGGGTCCTCCGACCCCTGAAAAATTTGAACATTCTGTCCGCCCAAAGAATACAAAACATGAAGTGTCATTGGTACTCAAGGTACGTTCCTTACTCCTCTATCTTGCCCTTTTCTCTTTCCTGAAGTTAATTTAAAATTTAGTTCCATTACTAATAAGTGCACATTTGAATAAATACAGAGAAGTGGATCAAAACCAAATGGTAGGGCCCTCGCTGACTATGACAAAGCTCATACATGTTGGAATTGGTCAGATCGCCAGATCGATAATCGATCAAAATATCAAAAGGGAACTTCAATGAGGGTTGGTGCTACTGATGATGAGAAGAGTGACAAAGTCCTTGAAATAGATACTGGGAAACCCCACTTTACACCCAAACGTAGAAACCTCTTTCATTCATCACATCTTGCTGTAGCATCAGATCAATATAGCCATAGTTTTACCACTTCCAAAGACTCGACAACACACCAGACAGTACCAAGTCAGTCTTCATGTGAGGTTCAATCTTTAAGCCCTTTGAAATTCTCCCATGAGGTTGAGGAAGGTTCCTTTTGTACTGCCGAAAATAGCCCACAATTCTTTTCCGCATCATCAAGGGGTGGTAGTTCCAGGAGAAGTCCCTTCACTCCCACGAAGAGTTATGGCTCGCAAAGCTGTCTAAGTGGTTACTCAGACCATCCAAACTACATGGCCTACACTGAATCTTCAAGGGCGAAGGTCAGGTCTCTTAGTGCTCCTAAACAAAGGCCTCAATATGAGAGATCTAGTTCAGCGAAGAGGTACTCAGTTCATGGGTTTGGTGAATCAAAATTGAATGTGCAGAGATTTTCCACATTGCATGCAAATTTCACAAACAAAGCTTACCCAGGATCCGGTCGCTTAGACAGTCTTGGAATGCCTGTTGGATACAGATACTAAAATAGTTTTCCAGGATTCTAGCTTTTCACTTTTAGCATCTAATCTGTCTTAACTTTTGTAGTTAGTTTTCTTATGTAATCTTTTGTGCCAAAAATGTATTGAGTTGTGTATGTTTTAGGGTATCTATGGGATGATGTAACTGCGCAACCAAAATGTAGATGGCCCAACCAGTACTATATTGAATGAGTGGACTCGTATTGAATGTAAAAAATCATATTATAAATTTGTGTTACACTAATGAAATCCTTAAAATAATTTATTTCTTTTTATGACATCAACATCACTGTTGGGAAGGCTAATAATTTGGAGAAGTTGTACTAAGATGAATCCAAGAGCAAAATTGGGTACTTGAGATATGGTTAAGATAATGTCGGGTGTGGAGATGGGTGAAATGGGCAGCGAGGTTAGGGAGTCAATAAATGGTGGTGCATATGAGCAGTAGATGTCACGTTTTATATGCAAAACATAAGTATGGAGCCCATGTGTTTGGCATAAATTATGTCTGCTTGTGGCTCCCAACTACCATTTTTTTTTTTAATCAATTTTCCATTATTAGTATCCTCTCTCTTAGTCATGTTGTAGTAGTATTTGATGTATCATTTTATCTCAAGAGGATTTTACTTTCATTCTGACAAGAGTGGAGCCTTTAAAGGAGAATTAGAAAATGAATGTGGGGTTTCAGAATTTTCTTGGTTTGGTGGGTCATGTCACTTGTAGAAGCTAACTCTGTACAAAAAGTCAGAAATGTTGAAAGAGTAATCTCCTATAATTTTGTTTACTTGATGTTAATTTGAATTAGATGCGAGAAACAAGCCCAAGAAAAAGAGCCAACACGACTTTCTAATATTATGGGAAAGAGCAAACCACATGTTCCACCCAAATATTAGCGAAATAGAAAGTTTTCAACCATAGTTTCATAAATTTTAGATTTTCATCCTTAAAGTAACAAAAAATTATTTAATGTACTGATCAAAGAGTAAAGTGGTCATTCTATACTGCATTAAATCTGGAATGAAAATGAAAATTTCAAAATAATCCTAGCCATGGCAGCCGTGTCGTACGACTTTTTTTGTCGATTTCTGGTTTTTTTAAGCGGTGCACGTTAGCAAGTGTCGCTTTTGGCCGTAACAACACATTGTTTTTCGTCGACCACTCCAATTAGGGTTTCTTTGTGTTTGTTGGAATTGAATGTTGATTGAAGAGTTTTTGATGCAATTGAAGTTTTGGGTTTGTTTGGCTGTTTAATTGGAGTCTTAGTGTGCTTGTTTTTGGTCGGAGAATCCACCTATTCACCACCATTTGCTCATCTTTCGTCGGTGCACACCAGGTGCTCGACGAATTGCCCTAGCCAACTTGCCCATCTTCTTTTGATTGTTGTAGACTTGTTAAGTGGTGGCTAGGTGGTTAGTTCATTAGGCGGTGGTTGATTTTCAAAGTGTTTTGTGTTTGTCGTTTGGCGACAGTTACTAGGTGTGGTGGTGGTGGCAATGGCAGTGGCAGTGGTAGCGTCTGGGTGGTTGGAGACGAGAATGATGCGGAAGTTGAAGAAAAGTGTGTTATTGAAATAAATTTGAAAGTAAGATGGTTATTTTTCTAATTCTATTAATTTGGGGGTTAAAAAGTAATTTATTAATTTATTTGTCAAAGGCAGAATGGTAATAGCACCCTCTACATCTTTATTAGAACCTAAAAATCGTTAACGGAGTTGGTTTAATGGTCAGAATCTGGAATTTATGAAACCAAGGGTAGAAACTTGCCATTTCACTAATCTTTGGGTGGGAATATGTCGTTTACTTTTATGGGAAATTGTATTATGTAGCTCAAGTCCCACATTTTCTTTTTTAAACAAAACTCTCCCACATTTAGGATGATGAGATTAGGGAATTAATTTACCAAATAAACTGTCACATTGGTTGAGATCTCATCTTTGTATATGTAGTATTATCCTTATTGGAATTGTGCATTAACCCTTGTTCCTTTGTTATTCATACACCATTAATGTGTGCAAGAATTGTGAATGTTGTCTTCTTTGTGCGATATCGCAATTGCAGAATTCATAGATGTCACACAAATTAATAGAAGAACCCTAAAAACTATTTTCATACAACATTCAACCTATTTTTAATAATATCATACACTCTTATCATCAAAATTTGAAGCAAAATAGTTATATAAATCCTAAAAACTAAATATAACAACCACTAGAGTAAGGTTTAAGAATGTGATTATAACACAGTTATGGATTACATTTTTGTTTAAAACAAGTGTGGGGGGGAATGTAGAGAGTTTAAGTATTGAATGATAAGTTTATTGTTAAGTTTTGGTTTATCTAATCAAAAGGGTATCATTTATGTGGGATTAAAAATGGGAAATAAGAATGTTATTCCTAAAAAATCAGGGTTGACGTTAGCCTATGTCAGTGAGCACCAATCAGAGTTCAGGAAGGATTTGCGCCGTCCAGGAGTTGCCACGTTGCTCCATGACAAAAAAAAAAATATTATTGTCACCAACTTAGCAGATTCAAGTTTTGTCCATGAGTGACTAAGGACCGCACACCTGTCCAAGCCCCCAGATAATTTAAGGATATTTTCTAAGTTATCAGTCAATGGGAGGCAAGGAATGATTTGCACGGCACCTACTCACTTGCAGATTTGTAATCATTACCTTGAATTTTTCTACTATAAATAGAGGACTACCCCTCTCATTTTCGGGATTCTGATACTGAACCTTCATTCTGATTGTAATATTTATTTTCAGAGCAAAGATAACCTACGGGAAAGAGACTGACTTGATATTCTCTCTGAATACTTAGTTATTGTACCTCTGTTCGCTGTTTGCTATATGCGACCTCTTGTAATCTCTCATATATAAAAGAAACAGTGGACGTAGGATTCGCTTTAAGCATCCGAACCACTTTAAAAATCATATCTCTCATTTATTATTCAGTCGTTGTATATGATTATAATAGTTCACGTGTAATTTCTAAGAACACCTTAGCACTTTGCACGTGCGAGTCGTTGGTGTCAAAATCACACATCAATAGTTTGGCGCTAGAAGGAGGACCCTGATTTTATATATGCTTTTCATTCAGAATCTCTGATCAATCAGTTCTACTGGTGAACAAATGGCTCGTGGTCTTGAAACCGAGCGAACTAGCACCAACAGTGAGGAAATCCCCAAGGTATAGGATGTTACTTCTCCCAAAGTGCCTCCAATTCTTCAAGGTACTGTAGCGGACATTCCCTCGACCTCTCAACTCGATCCATCTATGATGAATTACATAGAAATGTTCAATAATACTCTCCAAACGGTTAACCCAAGGTTAGATTGTTTGAATCAGGTCGTACCACCCAATTCTGACAAGGTGGTACCACCTCCAAAAATGCCTATAAGTCGCGCTAAAACGTGAAAACGAGCCAAAACTCATACCACGCGCACTATAACGCGTAAAAATAAGGGAAAACAGGTGGTTGACAATGGGCTAAAAGGCTCGAAGGGGCCAGTGAATACCGGTCATGAGGTAGGTAGAATACTTATGGCTTTGTGACTTAGTGATATGTCACATCATGAGCCGTCTCACGTCACATCTCATGGGTACCCCCACAAGAGTGCACAGCATGGAGATTCCCACTATCGCCAGAATGATGGTTCTGACTATCACTGCGAGGGAAATGCCCACAAATATGGGTCAGTTCTGACCACCGTGGAGGTCGAGATAACTCCCCAAGCCATTCAGTGCATTCACATGGCTTTAGCCAGCATGTATCAAGGTATGTTGGAGGCTCCAGCCGAGGCAAGGAAGAGTTCGATCTGTGGTCTTTCCTCAATCGCAATCATGGGGAGCGAACCCACATTGCAGAAAGTGATCCTCAGGTGGCTCCGCTTTCTCAGATTAAGGAGTTATAGCGAGCTCTAGATCAGCTTAGAGCTCAACATAATGAGCGAAGGCAGGTCACTGAGGCGTCTCCCTTTTCTCCAGCAGTTTTGACTGCTCCTCTCCCATCAAGATTTAGAATGCCCGATATGCGAGCATTCGATGGGAATTCTAATCCGCATGATCATCTCTATGAATTTAACGACCTCATGGAGCTTCACCAAGTTTCCAGCTTGGTGAAATGTCGCTGCTTAGCTATAACTTTGACTGCCCATGCTAAGTCCTGGTTTAGATCGCTTCCGCCAGGATCTATCAACTCATGGCAGCATATGAGTTCGTTGTTTTTTAGATACTTCCAGGCTAATAGGAAGTTCTCAATGTCGTTGAACTATCTGAGCAACATACAACGGGAGAGGAATGAATCCGAAGATTCAGTTCGAACTCTTATTATTGCAGGAGTTCGCCTGCAAACCGACTTGTGGAAAAAACTGCAATCCGAAAATGATATTTCCCTCACTCTCTTTTACAACCTCACGGAGAAATATCTTAAAATTGAAAATTCAGTGGATGTTTTGAATTGCCACGACCCCGGTCTTTCGACCAGCTCTCCCAATCGAAGGAAGGAAAACTGGGGAGAAAGTAGTAGAAGGCTTGATCGCAAATGAGCTAATGACGATCAGAGAAAATGAAAGAAACAATGGTTTGAGCCCAAGAAATCTTATGCTCAAGTAACTCGTCACGATTGCGACAAGAATCAATACATTCCATTGAACGCATCGGTATCAACTATTCTGAATAAATCAAAAGAAGCTAATCTGCTTGGAGAGCCCGAGCCCATGAAAAATTCCCCTTAAATAAGAAACAGTAAGAAATATTGCCGTTATCATTGAGACAATGGGTACCATACCGATGAATGCCGAGCTCTTAAGCAGGCTATTGAAGACCTCATTAAAAGAGGGCATTTCAAGGAGTATGTTGATGGTCCGACTCCCATTTAGGAGAAGGATCAAGAGGACGATGGGAAGAAGCGCCATGGTTGCAAGGGCCTCAATTTCGTCAGAATTATACTTAGAGGGCCACACATGGGGAATTCTCAAGGTGCTCAGGAGAAGTATGCTCGAGAAGCTCGCCATGACCCTATGAATGTGTTAAACACGGCACATCGACCTACTAAAGTGTGCAAAGAGGAGGAGATTACCTTCTCATAGAAAGACGTGGTACGATTGCATCACCCTCATGAGGATGCACTTGTCATCACGATTGAAATAGGTCGGTGTGAAGTCCACAGAATGTTAGTGGATAATGGGAGTGTCGTGAACATCCTATTTCAACAAGTATTCGAGGAAATG